AAGAAATATTATTATGTGCATAAATAGCAACAGTCCAATGATAACTGATGCGCCTGACACGCTGCCGAGTAATCTTAATACTAATAACTGAATTCTGTCTCGTATTGCACGCACTCTGATGTCAATTTATAATTCCTACTAAATATAATTAAGCACTAGTCGATCTCTACAATAAGTTTATCGCAATAAGCATGGAGTCTTTGGTGAGCTTTTTGGTAAATGATACCTTCTCGCTCTGATGATGTCTGTCACTACGGGACGGACGAAAGCTTATCAAGGGATTATTGGGGTGGCAAGACGGTGAGTTGAAGACGTTTTCATACAATCCAGCATCCTTCACTTCAAGGCCATCCTCTTTCGGTATTCTGACAGACGGAAAGTACTAAACGGGCCTGTTTGGTTGGCTGTCGGCTCGTGCGAGAGTGTCTGCAATGAAGAGACGCATGGCTATAGCATTCCAGATGGCGAGCGCAGACTCCGTCGACGAGGCCGCCTCCTTCGGATCCCGTCAAGACGTGTTGGCTCTTCGTCCGTCCGCCAGACTTAAGCCTGGTTCCTTCAACAACTTCGAGGAAAACATCGTGGCAAAAACGTCATTCGGATCATCTTTCCATGCTGTTAATACTCGAACAAATAGGAATTTTGGAAAGCATATAATTAGTTGATCAGTTCACTTTTATGCTCATGCATGCATGTATACTTTGTCACTCTGCATGTGCGTGTGTGCGTTAGCGTTGTATCTGCTTTTGTGTGTGTGAATAAATGCTCTTTTGTGTGTAGCCAGTTGAAGTCTTCTTTCTCATCTCTCCTCTCAGGGATGAAGCGTGAATGGCTTGAGCAAGGACGATTACAAAATTTCTTGTTGATAACCTATTTGCCCAAACTTTTGATAAATGCTAGCCTTCTGATCTTCAGAAAAAATACTATTTCTTAGTTTATAAACTTAAATCATCGCGCAGTCGTAGTGATGATTAACAAAAATCGTATTAACCTTGACTACTGAGGGCAGAGGTTAGGCCGTGTACTAATCGCTTGGAGCCATAACTACTTGCAGATGAATGTGCAGACACAGACTTATGCACACAAGCAGGCTTTTAGATTGACACATGATTTGGATAAATGCAGCGGATAGGAATAAACCTGCTCGTTTTCTTCATTCATTAGCTTGCATATGTTTGAAAGAATGTTTGGAAGCCCGTTCTGACAATGTCCCTCATATAGCAGACGAAAACTCAGCACGGCTTTACCCAATTCTAAAGAGACTGCAACTGGAATAGCAGCAATCAGCTGGTTCGAGTAAAGCCAATCGACAGCTGTCCAGGAATAATCCTTCAAATCTTTTCATCAGACACACTTTCACTCGATATGGGGGTAGGCTCACCAAAAATTTTTAGTCAAGATCTATCTTAGCCTCCAAGCCTACTAACTACAAAACTATATTGTTCTTCCACCTCGCCTCAATCTGTCAAGCAGTTGGCCTTCAGCTGGGGCAGATGATTTGTATTTATCAAAAGTAGATATCGAAAATATTGATAGCTTCGTTATCTGAGTACAAGTAGATAAGTCGATTTTAATGACAAAAATATAAAAAAATAAAAAAATAAAAAAATGAATAAATAAATAAATAAGTATATATATATATATGTGGGAAAATGCCGCGCTTTCTTTGGCATTCATATCGACCTTGGGATCCAAGGGTCTTCGTAGCAGGGTAGTATGTTGGTTAATGTGTCGAAATAACACGCTGCACCGACATGGTTCGAGTCCCGCTGAGGGTGCTGATGAGACCAGTTCAGATGAGTCAAATCCGCGGTCCACTGCCGTCTGGATGAGAATAACTTTTGCTGAAGCAAGGCTATGTGGAATTTAATGGAAACGTAAGGTTTACTCATGTGATTGTGGAAAAATTCAACTCCCTGCGCCGTTACACCTTAAACGAAATAAAGTAAATACACCTCACATATACTTGAATTTTGCCATTAAAATGGACTTATCTACTTTTCCTCAGATAATAGAGTTCTCAATAGTTTCGATACCTACTTTTAATAAATATAAATATAAATAAATAAACAAATAAAATTTATTGGTAGTCTCGAAAACCTACTTACAAACTAGAAATAAGTAGTGTAGTCAATTGCCAAATCAAATAAAATTTTACTTCATCGAAAATCCCCCCACAGACCTGGCCCTTCTTGAAATTACCATCTGCCCTGCGAGCCAAGAGCACTCACGGCAGTCAGACGAAGTGAGATTATACGCTGCTCTGTTATTATTCGAGTCCCGCTGAGGGTGCTGATGAGATCAGTTAAGGCTGGGTCGAAGCTATAGTCCGGCCTGGCTAAGAGTAACTTTTGGGAAAGCAGGGCTAAGTGTGAAATTCAATGGAAACGTAAGGTCTTCTCATAGGATTGTGGGAAAAGTCAACCATTTGTAGTCTCCTTATGACTTTAAACAGAATAGGCCATCCATCTTTTCCGGTTTAGTGTTTTTTAGTGATTATTCGTAAAGGATGCTTTCTGGCCATGAGCATGTCGGTTACATGAAGGATGAAAGCTGAGCACGGATGGATCGGAGTGGCAAGACGTTGAGCCATGGCCTTCTTCACACAATCCAACAGCCACAGCTCCAAAGCAACCCTCTTTCTGCATCCAGTGAAGCCGATTAGCGAGCCGCTTCCACTCTGCTTTGGAAACGAATTGAAGGTATGCCGGCATTAAAGCGATTGCCATTCCCATCGACGATATTACCTATTTCCAACACAACTAGCCTTTTAAGACTTAGGCAGAATGAGTTTCTAACCCGTTTGCCAGAACCTTTTTGTCTCCGAGACTTGGAAGTAGGGTGCAACGGCGGCAGAACAATGGGAAGCAACCGTCGTTTTCTGGTGAGTTCAACATGCACTTTATTCGAAATATTTGTCTCCACAACAATCCTCTTTACTTTCTTAATAATCTGCAAAAAATGATATTCTGACGTGGTTTTAAGGAAGGAGGCGATGAAAGCTCCGACTGCTCCCTCCACAGTGAGCTGACAAAAGGTAAGACGGGGATGTAGCATGCCAAAAATAAACCCTACACTGCCCTGGTTCGATTCCCGTTGGGGCTATTGGTGAGACCAGTTTAGGCGAGGTAGGAACTGTAGTCGAGTCAACTCGGGATGAGGATACCTTTTGGTGTCATGCAGTTGGGCCATATCATTGTGGGTAAATCCCACATCATAATCTTCTGAGACCAGGGCCAAATAGAACCCTTATTCAGAATCTATTGATGCTTTATAAACCTACCCGAACCGAAAATAAGTAGTATAGCCTATCTTATTGAAAATTCTACTTGCAAATGTGAAATTGGGATGGCCTGACTTCTTTTGAAAGTCACCTCTGCCCTCTGAAAGATCGGCAGTTTGGGTTCGATTCCCGCCAGGGGTTCTGAGGGAAAACCGATCTTGGCGAGGTTGAAATTGCACTCCAGTCCAGTCCAATCGAATTGGACTGGGAATAATTCTAGGCGATCGGCATTGGTCTCTTGAGACTTTGCGACAAGAGTGTGGAGTTATTCAACCATCAGTTCTCCATCACTTTAAGCGACCTCAGGCCGATTCAACTGTTGGTCTAAGATGAGTCATTCTTCAAAAGACTGTGCTGGTCGTCAAATATCCAACACTAACCCAACTTGGTATGTTCTCTTTGTTTGTCAACCAACAGGACTTTGCGAACCGGCAGTTTTTGTCTGAGGCCTGCGCCATCGCCGGACATGCCAACTCACCGGAGGAGAGGTCTTTCGCTGAGACCGGCCATCAGCTGAGCCTTGCGTGTCCGCGTGGCGAAGGAGAAGAGACGACGAGCGAGACGGGACTCGAGGCAGACGGCGTCGCGACGATGCCTGCCGTCGGCCAATTGGACACGGAGCTGTTGCTGCGACACGAGATCTGCAAACTGATGCTTGTGCAACCCGTCGTCCTGACCGACCGGCCGAGTGTAGGCGACTCGGCCTCGAGCCCGGCAGCAGTTGAGCGGGTCTGGCTTGAAGGTAGGCCTCCCCCTCTCTTGCCCACTCAGCCGACCAGCCTTTCAAAGGTCTGATCCCTTTCTTTCGCCGCATTTTTTGTGCTTTCCTTTTGCCTGTACCGTGCCGCCTGGTCTCGACGCGGCAGGCTTGTCGTTGGGCAAAGTGGATTCCTCTTCAAGAAGAGACAATCCCGGAAGCCGGAGCCGAGGGACAGAGGACCAGAGCAGAGCATTGCGTGCTTGCACGGTCCCAAAAACAGTTTCGCAGGTCGAGGCCAACTCGCAGAACTTAAGTGACCTACAACGACCAGCTTTTTATTCAAGAAGTACTGGTAGATTCGAAATGTTCTCATTTCGAAGATATGACAAAGACAAGTTGAGTTTTGAGGAATCTCTTGGTTTATAATTAAGTGAAAGTGTGTGAAAAATAGACTCGAAGGTTGATCCCGCAGAAGACGGCGGCGGATCCCTCTCGGCCCGACCCTACTAGAACATTTTTGTTGAAGCTG